CCATGTTATTATTCACGTTAAGCCTGTTCACTTCGAAGCTAACAACTGTGTCATTGATTTTCATCTATTTTCACATTTCTATTCCTTTGCATGCTTGCCATAATTGGCTTATTCATGACACAATGTCATTTCAGTCGCCATGGGATTTAGTTGACCAGTTAACAGCTTAAATCATATGGGCATGTGAATGCAATACAGGAGGCTGCTGTATGCAGCCCAAACTGGATGAGGAAGCATTTGAGAATGGAAATATTAGATGGAGTCCAAAGTTAATGTAATGACTTACATTCATTGTATTATAGGAAATATCCAAGTTTTGGGGAAACTTTCATTTAGTTGTTCGATCTTACCAAAAGACGACTGATCTCCGTTGTACTGCAGCAGTTCGGCTTTAATACGATGTTCAGTTGACCCAGTTCATCAGTCATGCCCGCTCGTTTCGGATGAAAACTGGCTAAACTTTTGTTTGATATGCTACTTAACTAACAGCATCAGAAGTAAACTCATTCCTGCAAAAGTCACACGTCAGCATTAGGTCATGAAAAGTGATCGGCTCTGTCATACATGAAATATATAGTCATAGGCACACACAGGCATACGCGGGTATAAGAAAATTAACCAAAATATTATATAACAATCTATACGTAAATATATAAAGCATATTCATCCTACTTCGTTTAAGGTGGAGAAGTGCATATATTTGAACTTTTCACACAATGTTTTGAGCAGGCGACATAATTCCATTGAATTTCGAATAGCCTTGCTTCGCAAAAAGTATTCTCCTCTCGGATCGTGTAGACCGATCCAACTTGAACTTGGCCCTCGCGGGACTCGAACCCTGGTTGTTGTGATGAAGCCTACTACGCAACGTTGCTACCAGTGCCTTTGGGTCACGGGACAGATACAAATTTCAAAGGAGGCCAGGCCTTTTCCATATCATATCCTCTGGTGAGGTTGTCGGTGAAGCAATGTTATATTTGCTATGTAACTCGACTACATTATTCATTCCTCGAGATATGCATGAGATAAGTCTAGCAGACCAATTTGGACACAGAAAATATACCGAAATACATTTTGGTACGAGCATAATTGCATGTAGGACAGAGCCTTTTAATCTTTTTGGCTCAGTCTCAATATAGGAATTTTTAACGAGTGAGTTCGAGCTCTGATCACTTAATTCAAGTGACATGGTAAACGAAAGTTCAGCTTATTTCCACACGTATTGAGGTAGGAGGTCACGTAGACTGCGTCAACTTGAAAGCTGTTTTACATCCAAGCGGCTATAGTACAGCGATAATCAGCCGTTGTCTTTTGGTGAGACCTACCTACGAAACTCTAAATCATGAGCTTTCATACTAAATGCAAATCTTCATAACGATGCTATTTCAGGAGATTATTTAAAACCCGTTATTTCTTGGGAACCAGTTAACTATTGCTATTTAGCGAACTCATATAACTAAATTGATTCCAACATAATACGGATTTTAATGTCCATGAATATTCCATTTGCATGTCCTATTCTAAAATAGATCCTGTCATTTTATCAATTCATAATAGATCATATCTTCATTGTGCATATGTGTCGGTCTCAATACATTTCCTCCATTGTGTGCTGCCTCCTCTTTGTCGCAGTTGTCAGGCCGACTGACGACATGCCGTCTGTGCATTCTGAGGGAGCAAACCGATACTTGACAATAAGTTATGCCTTCCAGAGAAGCCACTTGACGCCCTCCAGACAACAGCGCAATTGCCATTCAGAGACAGAGGTCGGTGATGACACTTGCACGCCACCGCTTGAGCTGGCCTCCTCCTTCCAGGCCGACAGTCCAGTTTTGCAGAGCCTATCTTTCCCTCCGAAGAGATTGGGCTCAAGTGAAGCTGGAATGGAGGTGAAAAGAGACTCGCCGGCTTTGCAAACTTTTCATGAGACGGACCGAGCATCGCAAACTTTCGTAGAAAGCAGGTGCTTGGTCATTGAAGAACGGGCTCACAGAGCACGCAGACAAATCTCCTCAAAACGCCTCGATGTACAGAATATCTCAGTCAGCCAGAACGATGACTCTGAGTTGGTCATGTCGACCGAGTTTCCAAAGACATGCTCACAGGCGCACTCGAGAAGTGTGAGCCTTGAAGTTGGTGACGAGCAGAAGTCGTTGCTAGGCCAAGCAATTTGTGAGCGAAAACAAGGTCTCGGATGTC